AGTCTTACTATTTAATTTAAATTTAAATTAGTCGAACCAGTATGATTCGAAGGTGTGGTAGGCAAAAGCAAGGAGCATGGAGTGTGGGAAGGATTGCTTTATGGAATTGTTAGGGTTTGGCATCACCAGCACCACAACTAAAAAGTCTGTGGATTAGGTTCTGATCCTTATTTGTATTTAATTTTTTTTTTATATTATATTTATTTATTATGATTATTAGTATGAAAAATAAAAAATAATAAGAGGGGTGTTTTTTCATTAAATGACAAATAATAAATGGATAGGAAAGATATATGGATGGGCTGGTAACAGCCAAAACCATGTGTATCCACCTGTATTATATACTCCATATATACACTTCTATTCTCCATTTTTTCTTTTTACTTAAAACCTACTACTTATCTTTAACTAACTTTACTTTGTTTCGTTTCGAAACAGATTCAAAATTTAAAGTTTATGAGTTTTGCATTTTTTGTAGTTATTCGCTTGTCATTGAACTTGACCTCCTGATTCGTTGTGTACTACTTTCTTCGGTTCAATTTATGCAAGCTGACTACGAGGATGAGAATCAAATTATCTAATTTTCTACGTGAATTTAGATATAGAATGTTTATATAAAAATATTAAAGTCACAATAATCTTTAATGATTGAACTATATGAAAAAATCACGATTAAAAATAACTCATTTGACTCTCTAAACTACGGTCACATAAGGTTTTAAAGCATTAATTATTCTATACACCTACAAAACTCGAATCAAAACTATTGTATTCTACTAAATCCCATTGTACATCCACCTTGGTAATAACCTGAAGTGACCAATAGAGTCGATTTTGTGAGTTCGACTGAACTCATTGCTCTCCATAACGAATTATATCTATAACAAAAAAAGAATCAATATATACATAAAATAAGATTACTACTATATATTCTACAAGTTGTTGTATTATAGTTAAGAAAATATGTGTAAATTTATTTATTTTTTCAATTTTTGGTTGTATTATTTATACCTAAAAGTTGAGATAGCTCTCACTAGAATAGATAAAGCTACTAGTAGCCATCAGCCCACCCATCACACCTAATTGTTAAACTCACCATACCTTACTTTTCAAGTTTCTTAACTAACTTATTAACCTTTTATTTCAGCCTCAAATAGTAACTGCAAATCACACGTCACAAGTAGTTAGGTATGATGTCTATAAAGTTATATGTTTTTTGGTTTATTATGCAGTATATACGTTAACGTAAGTGATAAAGTTATTATCACTTGACCTTGAGTTTGAATTGTAAAAACAAAACATAGTCTAGGACTGTGAATGATAGACTCCTATGATCAGGTCCTTTTCCCACTTACTACATCGAACTGTTATTTTTAATTTCGATAGTTAGTACACATATTTGGGGACGACTAATTAAATTCAATTTTAACCTAGAGAAATTTCATGTTGACAGGTAAAGTGGTTCTTAACAAATGTGACTTCATATTTGAAGCTCAAACCTGTTACCTATCGATTAGGTTTAAGGTTCTATACCACACTACAAATCTGCCCCCCACCCCACCCCCACCCCTCTTCTTCTATGATTAAGTATTTAAGTACATTGTAAGTATAACATTATTTAATTAATCTATTCGTTATTACTATATAATTTATTTTATTGATATAAATATTTGTTATACCGACGATATATAACTTAATTAATCTAAGTGAAATCTTATTAGGTTCCACTCCTAATCAATTTTTTCATTAAGGCTTCTCTTCTCATGAAAAATGAAATATCACTTTCATTTTATATATATATTAAATATCGAATATCCTTAACGAAATTCCAGATTTTCATCATTTTTTTAAAAAAAAATGGGTGGGGATGGAGGTGTGAGATTTGGTGTAGTCACTTCACTAATTCTAATTAACTTGTTTGTTACGTACACGTTTTGGTCATAATTTTGTAATCTTAGTATATATATATATATATATATATATAG